AGAACTGCACCGGAACGCACGGATGCGTAAGGATTACAATGGAAGTTAGTAGTTAAACGCCGGCAGGCAAAAAATGAAAGCAACGCCCTGACCCCGCTGCCGGGAGCGCAGCCGCAGCCGCGCCACGCCGAGGGCGGCGCTTCCCCTCACGCCCGTCGCAGCCATGGCGGCTGCGGCGGCGGCTCCCGGCGGGATGGTGGCGGTGCTGCCGGGGCTCTACGTGGGCGGCGCGGAGTCGTGCTCGTGCCCAGAGGCGCTGTCGGCGGCGGGGGTGGTGGCGGTGCTGACGGTGGACGCGGAGGAGCCGCCGGCCGTGCCGGGAGTGCGGGCCATGCACGTCAGGGCGCGGGACGAGCCCGGCGCGGACCTGCTGAGCCGGCTGGACGAATGCGCCGCGTTCCTGGGCGCGGCGCGGGCGGGCGGCGGGGCCGCGCTCGTCCGCTGGTGAGCTCCGGGGCGGCGGCGGCGGGGCCGAGCGCTCCCCGCGGGCCGCGCTGCTGACGGCCTGCCCTTGCCTTGCAGCCATGCCGGCGTGAGCCGCAGCGTGGCCGTGGTCGCCGCCTACCTGATGAAGACGCAGGGGCTCGGCTGGGAGGAGGCGCTCGCCGCCGTCAGGGCCGCCAAGCCGGACGCAGAGTGGGTGCCCCGCCCGCGCCCCCCGCGCCGCGCCCGCCCGGCGCCCCCTCACCCCGCTGTCCTCTCGCCCACGCCGCAGGGTGAACCCGGGTTTCCAGGGGCAGCTGAAGCTGTACGAGGCCATGGGCTGCGCCGTGGACAGCAGCAGCGTCCTCTACAAGCGGTACCGGCTGGAGATGCTGAGCGAGAGGCTCTCCGGTGAGTGGGAGCAGCGGCGGGTGCGCGGAGCGAAGGCTGGGGCAGTGTCCGAAGTGGGGCCTGTCTGTCCCGAAATGAACACAGAAGGCCGTGTCAAAGAGGGTTGCCTTCGAGTTTTGCCCTCAAAGCAGCCGAGCCAGGAGTTGGCCAGGCAAGCATTTACATCGTGCTGACCCTAGAGAGCCCCAGCTCATCAGCGGAGAAGAAAATGTGCCTTTGAGAGATGCCTGAGAAATAAGATCCGTAAGGTGCTGTGCTTTTTAGCAAAGGGCAAAAATGTTAAAGGTCAGTTTGATACATTTCGTGATTTTTGTGTCTCTGGCAAAGCAAACAACATCCTCAGAAAAGAAGTCAATGAGATTAAAAAATTAAAAATAACACACAAAACTTGAGATGAAGTTGAAATCTGAAGTCAACTTTTATACTTCAATTTGCCGGACGGTAACTGTAATAAATGTGTGTGCATATGTGTAATTTTATAATAAAATAATAATCTGTAGCTTTTCTTGCAAGATCTTGGTGTTGCATACTCAGCATGACAGTGCTGTCACCCTTTAAGTGTCATTGTCTTTAGCAGTTTGTAAGCTGACTTTCCGTATTGCGTGCACTAAAACATTGGCAGAACTGTTCCAACACCTCCTCTGCCTTTACTTTCTGTTTAAGTAATAAAATAAAGCAAATTACAGCTATTTTACCATTGTTAAGGCCATAGTCTTGCGTTAAGCAAATCCCAGTCTTAGGTGTGGTGGGATGAGGCTCTTTCATTTTTAGCTTAATCTACTGGAATTAGTGAGAGGAAAATGAAAGAGAAGAAGGTGGGTCCTGCGTGCTGGGGCTGGGGCAGAGGCGCAGTCCTGTCTTGTTCCCAGGAATGCAGTGTGGCTGATTTGGTCTGATCCACAACTTGTTACTGACTCCTCTGCAGAACCTCAAGACTTGCCCCGAGAAGTCTTTGCTGTTGATCCAACCAGTATATGTCAAACTCCAAACACAGAAGTTCTCTACAGGTGCAGGAAATGCAGGTACTTTATATATATAAATGCGTGTTCATATATATATATATATAAAAATACTTTGTATTCCTCCTTAAAATGTCATTGTGGAATCCACTCAAGAGAAGAAGAGCCCATGTAGATCAATGGGCATGTCATTATTGTAAAGTCAAGGATGAGCTGTTGCCTAAGTTTCCATACTGTGTGTGCCAAAAAGAAATCAAATCAAAGTACAAAATGCAAACCTTTTCACAACTTGTGATGCAGCACTGGTGCAGCCTCACCTGCCATGTTCTGTAGGCAAGCATGATTCCACTTAGCTTTATGGAGTCTTTGCTCCTAAACCTTAACTTAGAGTTTGAGTTTTGACTCTCGGTTTCTTCAGAAGAAACTTCTGGTAGATTTGGGGATTCAGTGAATTTTAACTGCTTTTTATGGATTGCTTAAAGGGAAATTGAATAACCCTGCTATGGCCTGGGTGTAGGTTTATTCAAGCGTATGACTTTAGATTTTAGGTTTTACTAGACAGGAATTGTTTTAAAAATATAAAAGACAGCATATAGCTCTGGGACAGAGTCCCAGCCTACACAAATCCTAGATTTGTTAAGCAGCAACCTTGAATGGAGTCAGTGCCTGCAAGCCTTCTACACTAATTTTTAAAAATGTCGGATTTGTACTCCTGTGTAATTACTTACTGTCGGGAGGTTCATATCCCTGTTTTCTATTGTCTGTAGATTTCCCCATTTTAAAAAGTGACATTTATTTTGTTTCTTTTTTCCCCCCACTGTGTCATGGACGGCAGACGTGCTCTGTTCCGTAGTTCCAGCATTTTGTCCCACACGGAGGGAAGCGGACCAACAGCCTTTGCCCACAAGAGGATAACAGACTCTGCACGGCTTTGTGGCAATGGCCATGAAAAGTGCACCTCTTACTTCATTGAACCTGTGCAGTGGATGGAGCCAGCATTGCTTGGAGTAATGGAAGGACAGGTGGAGCATGTGCTTTATTTTTTTGGTTTGTTTGGTTTTTTTTTTCAAAGGCAAAACAAACTCTGTCTGTTCCCTGAAAGAAACCCGCCCAGGGACCTGGGTCTCCCAGCCTTTCTGGCATGAACTTTGCAGCTTATGGACAGATTCTTAAATGTAAAATACCCTTTTACAAAGAAATGAGCTGTTGCTTGGGTTGGGCTGAGAACACCAGGGTATTGGACAGGGTTTATCTGCTGTTTGTTTTAGTATGAGAAACATTTGTGGGGCTTGAAAGACCCATTGTGGTCTCAGGCTGACTGAGTCTTTCTCAACCCTGGTAAAACTGTCCTGGAACCACACCAGGTCCCAGCAGATGCATTTCCACACCATCCCTTCTGCCAGCACAGCTGCCTGCTACACCTCAGGGCTAAACAGCAGTACAGCCATTCCAGTCTACCTTTTTGGTCTGTTTTTAACGAGATCCACATCTCACGTGCCTTAGACCAAGTCCTGTGTTCTTCTTGCAGCTTCTGTGTCCCAAATGCGCATCGAAGCTGGGCTCCTTCAGCTGGAGGGGTGAGCAGTGTTCCTGTGGCCGCTGGGTGACACCAGCCTTCCAGATCCACAAAAGCCGAGTGGATGAAGTGAGGACGCTGCCAGTTGGTAACTTCCAAACTGCCAAAACCTGAACTCATCACTTCACTTGATGGATTTCTTAATATCCACAGAGAACTACTGGCTAGTCTGTGGTTGCCAGGAATGAGCTTGTGACTTCTACCCCTTTGTGAGGTGGTAGAATTACTTGAACACCTTCAGCTTGCTGTATCTCTTAATATATTACATAAAATGTCAGAACACTTTCTTCAAAGAGGTGTTACATAGTGGTCAATGTACAAAAATGCCCAAATGTGATGCTTTTAGTATATTATTAATTTATCTGTTGCTGTTTATGGAAGGCCTCAACTCCTTATTTAAAAGGAGTTGCTGTGGGGGGCAGTGCTGCTCATCTTCTGATCCCGAAGTTCCAATTGGTTTGTCTGAAACACACAGCTGATATTTTAGGGGGTATATTCCACAGCATGAGGTATACAGCAGGGAAAGATTTTAAGGCTTAGCAAAGTACCATAAAGTGGTTCAATTGCAATTGTTGCATTAGTGTGCGTGGCAGGTACTAGCAGCAAAAGGCAAGCTTACAGTTACACCTTTTTTGTAATAAAAGTAATCCTAAAAATATCTCCCCCAAGAGTACTTACTGCATTATAACTCTTTCATGTAATGTCCAAGGAGATTCCTGGAGGAATAACCCCAAGTACCAGTACAGGCTGGGGGCTATCTTGCTAGAGAGCAGCTCAGCTGAGAAGGACCTGGGAGTCTTGGTGTATGACAAGTTGACCATGAGCCGGCAGTGTGCCCTTGTGGTGAGGAGGGCAAATAGTGTCCTGGGGTGCATCAGGAAGAGTGTGGCCAGCAGGTCAAGAGAGGTGATCCTCCCTCTCTACTTGCCCCTAGTGAGGCCACATCTGGAGTACTGTGTCCAGTTCTGGGCTCCTCAGTACAATAAAGACAAGGAGCTACTGGAGAGGGTCCAGTGGAGGGCCGTAAAGATGATTACAGGTTTGGAGCATTTGTCTTATGAGGAGAGACTGCAGGAGCTGGGCCTGTTTAGAGAAGACTGAGAGGGAATCTCATCACTGCATATAAATATCTCAGTGGTGGTGCCAAGAAGACAGTGCCAGTCTCTTCTCAGTGGTTTCCAGTTACAGGATGAGGAACAATGGCCATAAACTAAAACACAAGAAGTTCCATCTCAGTATGAGTAAGAAATTGCCACATGAAGGGTGGCAGAGCACTGGAATGGGCTGCCCAGGGAGGCTGTGGAGGGAATGTCTCCCTCTCTGGAGACATTCAAAACCCACCTGGATGAGTTTCTGTGTCACCTGCTCCAGGTCACCCTGCCTTGGCAGGGGGGTTGGTCTAGATCTCCAGAGGTCCCTTCCCACCCTAATACTTCTGTGATTCTGCAAGCTGTACTGGAATGGGAGAACTGAAGTAAAGCATCCCTGCCCCACTGCTGCTTAAAGGTTTAAAGAAATCCCTAAACTGAAGTAATTTTTTTAAGCAAGCTGTGAGCTTTCCTGATGGTCTGCTACATACACCACTGTGGCACAGGTTTGGTTTGACATAAGAAAACAGGACAAATAAGACCTACTTTAAATCAATTTTATTTTCATTGACTTCAACAATTTTTTTAAATTTATTTTTTTTTACACAATTTCCAGCAACATACATTATGAAATATACAAGATAAAGTAGGTGGTGGGGTTCTGCCCATCTTGTAATTCCTCCCACAGCTGTGGAGGGAAGACTTGCAGGACACAGTGAACATCAGAATCTCAACACTGAAAACAGACACAAAACAAAAGAGACAAAAATATATATGAAACTGTTTGAACTGGTCACACTTCAGGGCCAGGTACAGCACAATAAATATTAGAACTGCATTATCTCAGACATCTTCTGTAAAGTTTATAACATCTTCTATTTAAAGAGATAAGAACATCTGGTTTCTAGCATGAAATGCTACATTGTACAGTGGTGAAGGGTACAAATGATGAGGAGCCCAGCAAGGGCTTGGATGGTGACCACTCATTCACACATGCTCATTGATAAAATAAGCAGCATACATCAAAAGTTTAGTGAGCTGTAAACTTAAGCGTTCACTACCAGAACATCAGCTGGAGGAGCAGTTTCTTTTGGGAGAACCAAAACCAGTTAATCCCTTTAAGTTTCAGCTGGGCTCTCCCCTGACAAACAGTGGGTTGATACCATAATGGAAGTGGCAGCATTTGGTCCATAGCACAAGATCCCTTTGCGTCACTACTGTTCAAAGCTGGCGGCCGGTGGAAATACTTCAGTGCAGAATTGAACGCGTACGGAGGCACAGTGTCACCAACAACAGGTACTGTCTCGGGACTGTAACAAAGCAGCAGATGGCAGCTGGAACCCAGCTGGGCACAGGGTGCTGCACAGCCAAGTAGCACTGGATGCCACCTGATGCGAGCAAGAGGGAGAGACTGGAGAGGATGCCAGCATTTCTCTCTCTCGGTCTGCAGCAATGGGATGAGTGCTGGGCTCAGGGACTTTGACAGAAAGGCTGTCCTCTGCTCATTCCTCACCTCATTCTAATTTTGCCAATAAACAAGCTCAAGAGACAGCAGTTTTCAGCTGCTTGACAGTGCTTCCAGAGCACAGAGCAGAAGACCAGAGTCACTGGTTTCTCTTGCATCGTAATCAACAAAGCAGGAGTAAATACATTTTGTACTCGTCAACCTTCCCCTGTTCATCCCCCATCCCCAGTTTAGCATCATACATTCCTCTTACACAGGAACTGGGGACCTTCTGTGCCACCACCCATCAGGCCCTGTGAGCACAGGTGGAGGAGGAAGGCTAAGCACGCGCTTTCCTTTCCCTGGCATGACCCAGGCATTGCACTGGGGGGCAGCTGCACTGGCAGACAGAGCACCACCAAGGAAGGACTGCGTTCTGGTCCACACATGTGGCATCACCGTGACTTGCCATCTACGTCCTGCAGTACATGGCAGCAGTCACAAGCTTCACAAACTACAGCAGCTGAGTGTCATGAAGTTTTATGGGGTGAGTGGGAGCCAAGAAGGGAAAATCCTGCTGGAAGCTAAGCACCTATGGCTTTGATTTTAGCTGATTCTGAGTCCAACAGTACTATCTGCACTAAGTAGGAAGATAAAATTGTATTTCTCCAGTGCACAAAATTATACTGGTCACTTGTATGTGCTCATCTTCTAGTTAGTCCCTTCTTGGGGAGAACCACAACTACCACCACATTTCAATACCAACAGACTCAACTGAGAGAAGTTAGAGTAGTGAAGAATTTTTGGTTGATCAACATGTCATCAGAGCATGGTCAAAAATTCTGTTTGAAAACAGGGAGTTCTACGTCTGATAGTCACTTAGCAAAGTGCCAGGTGTAAATGCCCTTACCACTGCCAGCTCGCAATGTACCGCATGGCTGCATGAAGACCTACACCTCCTCTGCCAGTACAGCTCAACTGGTTCCATCCCAAGATGAAAGACTGGTTACCAAGAGAGCTGGGAGAGGAAAGGTTAAATTTTTCCCACCCTAGAAGTGTACAACAGCATTTCCTCACTCAACCAGGCTCATTCACACATCACTCACCATTTCAGACACACAAAGCAATGCCAAATACAAACTAAGAGGAATGTTTTGTAAAGACACTCTCTGAGTATGAACAGGGAAAACATAGGGTAATTTATCAACTCAAGTACTGTTGCATCATTCTTTGTAAGGTAGGGAAGCAGAGGAGCTGAGATGAGGAACTGAGAGGACAAAGTGGAGTGATCACAGAGGTCGAGTCTAGTCTTCCAGACTGCGAAATGCATTCTGCATATCCTCAAACAGCTGAGCATAGTCCGCCTTGATTTTTGTTTCACCGTCTTTGACAGGGTCCTGAAAGAACACAGCAAATAAACAGATCAGTCAGGAAAAGCCTTGTGTACTTAAGACAACCCCACTTTGCCAGTGCTGTAACCTCTCAACCTTGGGATTAACACTTGCTAACTGCAGAGCAAGCATTGTAGCTCTGTCTTCCTCCCATCTGTCTCACAAGCCAGCAAGGTTTAAATCTCATTCTCTTCCCACATTCAGTGAGCAGACAGAATGGATACTGGACAGTGAATTTTTTTTTGTGAGCAGTGGTTACTGTATTGAAAAGCAACTGATTTGGAGGGGAATCAACAATACTGAGGGTCTTTGTTAATGCTGTGTGATTCAAGAGCTGCAATGATTAATACCAGCTCCTATCCCCACACCAAATGCAGTGAGGATCTTTGTGACTCAAATGCTCTGCTGTACTTTCTTAGGGGTGCATCCCCAATAAGTGCAAGAGTTACTCTGCCATCACTCAGAGGTTGCTTGGTTCAAAATTAAAATCTATCATGTAATCATAAGAAGCTCAAAACTATCTTTGTACAGCTTCATTTTCTCAGAATACTTTTCATGAAAGACAAAGGCAAAAAATGCAACAATCAGCTTTGCTCTGAGGCTGCAAAGTTTTGTCTGCAAGAAGCATTAACTGCCAGGCTTTGAAATCTGTTCCATGTCTTCACCATTACCCTCTCAAGTGATAAGTTCCTCTGGGCCAGTGCATCTCTTGGGAAACACAGAGGACTTACATGTGTGGATGCACTACTTCTTAAACTGTCTCTCTAAAGTACCCAGAACACCAGATACAGAACATCTAAACTCTCATACCTTTTAGACTTACCCAGGGAATATAATTTTCCTTTCATAACTATTAAAGGGCCAGCTCCACTTATCATATATTCACCCTCTGGATCATTTTCTCAGTCATGCTGCCCAGCACTCTGCTCTGTGCCAGATGGCTGCTGGTGGCCAGGGTTTGTAGAGTGTTTTAATTCCCCTGTCTCTACATAACCAGCTCTCAAAGAAGCTCATGTCCCCAAGTGTATCTTGTTATGTTCTTGATGCTTTGAGAATATATTCCAGGGATCTGCCTACTGCAGAAACAAGCCAGTACCCTGCAGGAAGACTGGCATGCCAGAACTCTTAATTCTAAACAATTTTATCCTAAGGTACTTGTTCTTGAAAGATTTGCAATATTGACTTATGCGAGTTATAACAGAGTAAGCATTATATTTCATAGACAATATTCCTTAGCTACTTTGACATCAGCCAATATCACAGGTTACTACTGTCCTACCAGTAATTGCTACACCAGCATGCTCTGGAAGTTTTAGGAAAGCTGTACCCTAAAACAATGCTACTGAAGTTACCCAGAGCAGGTGCTCCAATCCACTTGTTTTCTCTTTAGCCCATGTTGAAGTTACTCCTCCCTTTCTCTCCTCCTAGTTGCCTGCCTTCAGTCCTGAAGCCAAACACAGGGCACATCATGTATTATTGCAGGAGACTAGCATTTCTTTCCTTAACTTCCATTTAAAATAGCTTGTTCAACATTTCTATCATTCACTTTTTAGCACATTCTTGGATTTAAAATTCAGGCTGCTTTTATCTGATAATAGTCTCCTTAAAACGTGTTATATATTTTTACAGAATTTTATAAAAAAAACCCCCAAAGTAAACAGGAAAGGTGCTTGTACTGTTACCATGACTATATGTAACATAAAAGAGGCTGCTGAAGGTGGGGTTGCCAAGGCTGTGCAGGCAGCACCACCAGACCAGATTTCTTTAGCAACTGTTCCTGTACGCACAAACAACTCTTTAGTGTATTCAAATGATGGCAAAGAGTCTCTGTTCACAGACCTTTATCTAAGGTCTTGGACCATCACCATTGAAACACAGCCTTTCAGAGGCCCTGGAAGCTCCCAGAAAGCAGACCAGCCCACTTCCTTACAAACATACCTTGAACTTCATGGAGGTAAGTCTGTAGAGGATTTCGCTCATGTTCTCTCGGATGATGGACCACGTGATCTTATTGTCACTCTGAGCTGTGGTTTCTACGGCACGGCGTGCCATGTCATAAAATGCAATCATATTGGAAAGCATTCCCACTGTTTTATAGAAGGGGCAGAACCTGATGGAAAAGAAGAGGACCCATCAGGCATCTTGGAACAGTTAACAGGACTAGCCTTTGCTCCTCTGGATTCTCACCTGACAGCAAGAGTACTAGCCTGCTTTACTCCTGGTATTTTTAATATATAGTGTCAAAGGAGAGGAGCTGCCTCAGATAGGTCCCACATTTTTAAACAGGCGAATCACAGGTCAAGGCCAAATCATCCTGAAGTGAGGTTTCTGAAGTAGCACCCAAACACTGGGCAGAACAGGAGAAAGCAGGAACCACTGCTCTTGAAGTCTCACATTTCAAACTGTGCCAATGCTAACAAGTAAAGGAAAACAACTGAGCAGCCATTGGAATTCCTCCTTCCAGTTTTGTCCATCAAGGGAGCAGGCTTCTTCCTAACAGCCTAGGATAACCTGACAGCTCTGCAGGTTTCTTTGCTCACAGGAAAGGGAGTGTTTCTATAACAAGCACTTCACATGCAAAAAGCTCTGTTTTTAATGGGTAGATGATTGCCATGAAAGGCACCTCATTATTATTTATGTGCTACTTCCTGTACTTCCCTATTGCATACACGAACACCTGCCCTAGTAACCTGATCAAAGGCACACACCACTACAAAATGATGTATGTCTACATTCTTAGTGATGAAGTACTCAGGACTTCCCGATCTACCTGGGCTGAGGAGTGAGATGAAGTAGAAAAAAACCCCTTGCCAGGCTGTGAAAACACAAGGATAGCGTGGAAAGAAGCAAAGCAGACTGGGATAATAAGCACTGCCCTACGGAAAAAGATAAGAGTAAGTTTCTTTTGATAGCTCAAACTTACTCAAGAACTATGCAATAGTAACTGAAAGCAGACTCTTACAGTCCCCTATGCACTGGGGACAAACAGGACAACTTTGGACGTTGTCTTTGAAAATAAAGCAGTCCTCTCCTCCTCAGAAGAGAGACATTGCAGAAACATTGGCTAACTGAACAATAGATGAGAACCCCAAACGGTGTGTACTGCATTCAGTAGAGGTCTGCATGCCTTGGGCAAGACAATGTGAATGCATCGTTGGATGGCCTGCCTAAGCACAGTTCTTCCATTTCTTTACAGAGAGTAACATTCATTTCAGCACTGGTCAGTTTGCAAGTAAAATAACTGTCTAAGTCCAGACTGCACAGGACTAGGAGGGCAGAGTGCCCAGTCAGATCTCACCTGTCATAAGGCGTATAACCATTCTGTTGCAAAAAGTCATCTTTTATCAGCTTGGCAACCTCCAAGGTAATTTTATCCGTTTCTGCCAAGGAAGCCTAGAAAAGTAAGGTAAACAGTTAGTTTAGTACTCAAGTCCATGAAGACAAAGTATGTCCTGGCCAAGAAGAGCTATCTTTCAGTACCTGTGTCCTTTGCACCCTCTTAAGAAGGCATCAAGCAAAACTATGTCTTTTGGGTATTTCTCATTCCCTGCTATAGAACAGCCGATTTAACTGATTGGCGAAATTAAGATGGGCCAAACATTCAGTAATTCTGCTTTAATTCTACCTGATGAGAAACAATGGAAAGAAAGCTTCCTTTAAGATAATGGAAAAGCCACCAGACACAGAAGGTTCACATGGCTTTGCTATGAGATATGTTGAAACATCACCTTCCTATGTAAAGAGATAAATTCATTCTTACCTTCCTCAATCCCTGTGGAAGAAAAACTAGATCTCAGCATGCTAGGTCAAGAAGTAATATTAAGGATTTGTACTAGCCTGCACAGTCATCAATGGTCTTTTCCTGTCTGGCATTCAAGGAAAGAAAAGGAGTTGATGACAATGCCTGTCATACAACACAGGACAGCCACAACCCTGCTGCACACTGTTGCTCTTGGCACCACAGGTCATGCTTCTCCACCTTCATTGTCCTTCAGCTAAATTGGGTCAATTGAGTTTTAAGTACCCCAGCTTGCTTTCTAGACAGGAAGTTTAGACCTTATTTCACAAGGAGACTAACAGAATTCTGAGATAAAAAAAAGAAAAAGAAGTATCTAACTGTTTTTCCACAATTCCCCCTTTCTAAAGGTTTGTTGCAGTTTTTAGCCAAGCCTAGACCAAAAGAAACTGTCAAAGATAACATCTCTGAGGATCACCAGTTCCAACACTTCTATCATGGGAATAAATGCCTAGTCACAAGACTGGCTTATCAATATCCCTTCCACACCAAGGAACCAATTCTACCCTGCTCTGTAAACTGGTTTTTTAGAACACGGTTCTGTAAAAAGAAAACTGCAGAAGGCCCTGTGACCCCATTTCCTTTTCTTCAAAGACACATTTAGAGAAGAGAACTCTACTAGGCAAGATCTGGTGAAAGGCCTCATCTTGGTTGGGCTAGAATATCTGTGAACAGAGAGAGCATTTCAGCTACACTAGAACACGTGAAGCAAGTGAATTTACGTGAGAATTTATGAAAGTAAAGTAGCATCAAGCCAAGGTTTAGCAAATCTCAAAAAAGTATTTGCCATTAAAAGACAAACAACATGTAATAAAGCTGGAATAAAACACAATTTGAGGCAGGAGAGTGACAGTCTCCCAGTGGCTTTTTCGCACTATGCAGTATCCATAGGGCCTGGTCTAAGACATGGTCAAAAGCCTGTGCTAGCCATAAGAAAATGGAGGATGGTTCATGGACACCACATTTCCTCACAGCTGCTTACTCACCTTCCCCACAAGCTGCACAATCTCTGCAAGGTCCTCTTCCTCCTGTAGGATCTCTTTGGCCTTTGTCCTGAGAGGGACAAACTCTGTGAAATGCTTGTCGTAGTACTCGTCCAGGGCACGTGTGTATTTGCTGTAACTGATCAGCCAGTTGACGGACGGGAAGTGCTTGCGTTGTGCCAGCTTCTTATCCAGGCCCCAGAAAACCTGTCAGAAGCCAGAAAGATCAGTCAGTGTTCCAAATCAAAAGTGAACCAAAGTAATTAAAGGCAATTAAAAAAAAAATACAGAAAGCAAGTCTGAGCGAACACAACATGGCAAAAGCTATCACAAATGAAAGCCCAAGAGGGAAAAAGCAAACCTGCCTTATGTTAATTTAACTATAGCAGTGACTTTCAAATACTCTTCTCAAAAAATGGTGCACCTTTTAAGCTGAGTTCAGACTTACTCGAGACTGCTCGTGAGGGAGTAGTCAACCATATAAAAAACACTGTCGATGATGGCATGTAATTAAAGTGGAGACCTATTAGATGTAACTGATTTTCCCAAAACAGGACTGGAAACAGTCCTATTTTGCAAGGACAAAATAGTTGCAAGACATTCATCTCCCCATCAGCTTCTCTGAGGATATTTTGTGGTTTCAGTGCACCTGTATTAAGAATGGCTTGCTTTCCTTCTCAGCTGAGAGACGCATCCGAAGTGCAGCTCAGTGGGCAGCAATCAGGAAGCACACAGATATTCCTCAGCAGTTGGCATTGGAATGAATTGCTACCTTCGCTCCCTCTTCCAAAGGGATCTCAAACACATCAGTTCAGAAACCATCTCATAAGATCACCCGTTAGAACGTTTTCCAAAGCTCCCTACAAAGCTGCGCCTGTGTCAAATCAAAGCTCTCTCAGCCCAGCCACTGGCACAAATGTCCTGAAGCACAACCATTTTGACTCTAACAAAGTGGACAGAACAGCTGCAACGTTCTGGAACGTACCTGAACAATACCCAGTGTAGCAGATGTGACAGGATCAGAGAAGTCACCTCCTGGGGGTGAGACACTGAGCAGGAAGAGATAAGGAAAAGTTATCAGTTTCTCTTCACAGTTCAAAGTGAAGTCCTGAACACATGACTGCACAGCTCAGTGATCAGAGAAACCAGAAAAGTCAACAGAATTTCAAGTAAGTAACAGATTGTAATGTGTTTGCAGAAAGTGTTTGATGCATACCCACACAGGTGTAATATCAAGCATACCATGAAATATAGTTACATCAGTGACTGATTGACAGTATAAAGGTGATTTCAGTCATTTTATCTCTAGGTAGTAACTCCAGCTTGGATTATCAAACCTGTCTCAATTAGAACAGATTCAGCAAGTGTGCTGATAGAATCTCATGAAACACAGTGCAGTGATTATTTTACAGAAAACAATATCCCAGTTTGAAATTATTTCAGATATTCACCTATACAATAACTATCTCAACTTCATGGGTGTTTTACATTCCAATATATGCCTTCCCAGAAATGAAAAAAAAACATCTTCCAGTCTCAAAAGCACAATGCCCCTGGGTAACATATGTTGTGGACAGCAGAACTAAGCAGAGCAAAGAATGGACTCCAGGTGTTCTTCCAGAGGCCCTTCTGAAAACGTGGAAATTCACTTTGCCCATGGAATGATATACAAACCAGTATCACCTAGGAGAATGCCTGGGGACCAAATGCTTTTCACAGCCCATCACAGCCTGAAATATGCTGCTCCATGTAATTCTACTCTATTTGAGCAAGAGAATCACGATTCATTATACCCCCAAGTGCACACACTGCTGCTTTAACTGCCCCTTCTTTCCTGCTCTGAGCATGGTTTGACATTCTTTTCAGACAGCTCTAATGACATTCTTCCCTGAGCCATTTGCTCCAATTGCTTCAAGTGACTGTGATTGCACACCACAAAGAACTACCTGTCCACATTCATTCCTTCTGCCCCCACACACAATTTACCACCAGTTCTGGGTGAAGAGAGACTAAGTATGTACCTACTCATTCTCATATTTTCAAGTTCTGCAGCTGCACAGAACAAGACCTTTCTGTCTGAAAAACAGGTACTCTGACATACAGAAACACAAACTGCCGCCAACACAAAGGCAAAGCAATGCAACACTCACGCTCCAACAATGCTGACGCTGCCTTCCCTTTCAGGATTTCCCAGACACTTCACTCTGCCAGCTCGCTCATAGAAAGAGGCTAGACGGGCACCAAGGTAGGCTGGATAACCACTGTCTGCAAACACCAACACACAGGAATTGAGTTAAGGGCTCAGAGTTTAAAGGATTGCATTTGCAAGACTAGATTGAGGAAAGACTACTCACCAGCTGGCATTTCCGCCAATCGCCCTGAAATTTCTCTGAGGGCCTCAGCCCATCGGGAAGTGGAGTCTGCCATCATACTGACATGGTAGCCCATATCCCGGAAATACTCAGACAGGGTGATTCCTGTAACAAAGACAACAGCGTGCTACAGGATACAGTTCAGAAAGGAATTATATGTTTGCATGTTGTCAGTAAGATGCAAATAAACCAAATTATTTGAGTTTACATTTTGATGGAAACAGATAACGGAAGTTACTCTTTCTTCCCACTTGATCATGTCCCTGCTGTCTTTCTGTTGCTACTGTTCATTTCTTCTGACTCTCCCCATTTTTGTTTATGAACCACTCTGACTCATCTCACATTCTCATGTATTTCTTTGAAGAGACACAGCGATGTCACTGATGCTACTCTTTGCCTCATTGAAACCATGAACAAAGACTCTTCTTCCTGTAAAATGTCTCCTTCCCTTTCAAACTAGTAGAATACAACAGTGAGAAAGGGTCATGTTTTATCTGAATTATCTGACAACTCTTTGTATAAAGGAATTTTAAAAAAAACTCTAAAAGGCTGCAAAGGAAAGACAACTAACTTGCCAACTCAGAGAGTACTATTACTGCCCATTAAGTGGCTGTACTTGTCAGCAAAAAGCCAGTCACAAACAAAAGGTTACCGAATTAACACATGGAGAAAAACTATGCAAGCTGCTGCAGTAAGTTCACCTTATAAATAAAATTTACTCGATATTTGAAAATGGTAATCATATGCAAGCAAGCCAGACTCAATTAAGATAATAAAACTTGGTGCAGACAAGGTCTGAAAGGGTTGACTTCTGAAACTAAGCAGGTTTCTTGGTACTGGCCATCTCAGGAACTAGAAATACTAGAGCATGATGGCTTGCTCTACACACACAGCCTTTTTCATCCTCCTGTAAATCTTACCAGTATAGATGGAGGCTTCTCTGGCAGCCACAGGCATGTTGGAAGTATTTGCTACCAGAGCTGTTCTCTTCATGATGCTTTCTACCTTGCCATCAACTTCCATTGTTAACTAAAACACAAGAAAAGGAAAAAAACAAACTGTAACAGTAGTAACTTTTCTTGTTAATTTTTTGTTGCTTTTATAACCCCGATGAAGCCTCAAGAACACCTGAACAACAGATTGTATATCCTAACATTTGTGTAGAATTCCACCTATGAATCCCCTGGGATTTAGATTCTTCAAGGCCACCTCAGCTTGACTTTCCCACCTTGTAATCAACCAACACACCCAAGCCTTTTACTCCTTATTTCTGGCTGTGAAGTTTGAACTCAACAGTTCACACTATCTGGCTTTTTCTCTCCTATTTTATAGATGACTGTGATGCAACAAGTTCCCTAATATATAGTAACAGGTAGGGATTTCTGCCAGGGTTTCAAGACAGGCAAGATGATCTTTTTCAAGTTGCTTTACCAATAAGATATTTTATTCAGTTACAACACAAGTCCAATAGCAAGTCTTCCCAAGAAGGTTCACTCTCCTTGAAATCTCCATACTAACCTCGGGGAAATCTCTCAGTACTTCAGACATTTCATTTCCTCGTTCTCCACAGCCTACATAAATGATGACATCACTGTTGGAATACTTTGAGAGAGACTGTGAAATCACAGTCTTTCCACAACCAAATGCCCCAGGAATCGCTGTTGTACCCCCTTGTACACACCTGAGTAAAGAAAAAGGATTCTGATTTGCAAGGAACTCAAAAACAGCTCTCTTCCATCTTAGAATTTGTTTTCTAATAGAACTCCCTAATTAAAAGCACAATGACAGGAGTGACATTCAGTGTTCTGGGTGAGGAGCACAGACATATTCCACTAAAGCAAAAAATAGAGGGAATAAACTATCCTTTTCTCCCACTGTCCTTGAAGTATGTGACTTATGCTGGTACAGCTTGACTTTTGGGCTTGAAATACAGCAGTTTTCACAGCTGGAAGCAGCGACAGAATGCAAATGCTAAGAAAAGAACAACTGTACTTAGCTGTGTGTTACAAGAACAAGCAACACAATATTTTAGGACCAAAATAACTGAATCTAGAGTCTTACACCTTAGCTGCTTAAGTGAGCATTTTGTGTTACAGTTAAGTGCAACGGTTTTCATAAGTGGCAACCTCAAAATCATTGGGAACTACTCATCCTCAAGACCATGAAAAGAGATCCTACTCATGCATTCAAATAGAGATAACAAGCCTGAAAGTTCTAGCCTTTCTTCAGATTTGACATGATTATGTTAAGCTCATGCATGTCCATTCTTTTCTAGATCAACGCGCTAGAACTATTTTGTTAATCTTCTTTTTTTCCACTAGTGGATTCACCTGCCAAATACAGAAATATGAAATATTCAGCTAAATATTTTTGAGATTATGCTGTGACACACAGCGAAAGCTTGGTGTCTTGTTTGCCCTTAAAAATACCTAAGGCTCTAAGGCCTCCTGCCTCTGCTTACCCCTAGGAGAGAGATTTCTTACATAGCACAAAATAAAAGGTAGTACTCACGGGAAGAGGGCATCTAGGACCCGTTGGCCAGTTAATAAAGGGTGATTGGCTGGTAACTTCTCAGTAACAGGACGGACTTGACGTACAGGCCAGACCTGGACCATGGTGAACTTCTCCTTCACACCTTCAAATTCCAGCTCTAAGACAACATCCTAACAGAGAACACCAGACATCTGGAGTAGGCAAACAGCTGCACGCTGGACCAGTACACAAATTCTCATTTCAACTACTCCATACAGCTAAGTCTTTGATCTCTTGGAACCTCAATACACTACCAACCCCTTCCAAGGGAAGACTCTTTCCCATATCTACAATACCACCAGGGGAAAATAGTACAAGTTGCAGCATACATTAAAAATATTCTTTTGAAGAGCAACTGAATTTTATATATTCATAAGATACTGTAGATCCCCACAGAGGTCAACAAACATGGCATACTGAAGTGCCATCGGGAAGCCATGGGCATAGAACGTAACTGCAGAAGATAATCATGCAAACTCTCCAGGCAGGGTAGCAGAAGCGATCATTAACTCAGACATCTTGTGGCATGAAACACTTTCTAGCTGGCCTCATGCAGAACAGAAAGAGTACAACCACCTCATAATACAGACATGGAATATACCAGCAACTGCTGTTTGGGAGACTTACTGAAGTGTCATAGTTTCCTGGAGGAGCAATGTATGTAACTGTACCCCTGTTCCGTGGGGGAAGCATGATTTTGTGTTTGATCAGGGAGTTTTCATTCACCACACCATAAATATCTCCACCAGTGATGTGGCTGCCAACCTAAAATCAGAACAGGTCTATTAGTCATAAGTTTTAAAAAAGAATCTTGACAAAGAAGCATAAAACATACTATAGCTATTAAGTCTAGCACTATGATTACTCCCTTTATAAATGCTTTGTTACAGCACAGCAGCCCATTTACATAACTCATTACTGCAACAGCACATTGTTAGCAACACTATCGGTGCTCAAGCACCTTTCAAGACTCAGACAGTAGCAATTACTGACAGATGCAAGGAATTTTCCTCCTTTCTTTTTTACCTCTCAATTTAACGTCCTAAGTAGAGAAAGGATAGCATATGCTAACCTGCAGGGTTGAAAAAAAAGATGCCACCGAGGGCTAAGGCCATGATATTGTCCAGCTCTAAGGCTATCTTCACCATTTGCAAAATGTGTGCTGCAGTCATTCTTTTTGCTCAGGTAACACCTGCTCCTGCTAACGCTTCCTGCAATTCCATGAGCTTCTTTACGGCTTGGGAAATACATTAAAAATTTGTAAATGTCTCATATACAGCAGCAACACACGGTAAGTCACATCAAGTAAGTTCTGGTGATCCACATCCAGTCTCATACATCATACCACCTCCTAGCACCCCTTTTTGCAAACTTAAATACAGCATTAACCACAGCTCCCAGCAGTCACAGCCTTAGCACAGGGCTCCAGCCCTAAGCCCTGGGGGTAGAGGAGCAAGAGGGGAAGACAGGCTCGGCAGAACCTACCCGCAGACTTTTGGAAGGTGTGAAGTCCCATTTGACATCTCGGCTCAAAGCTGACACGTTGACACCTCTAGGGATATAGATACTTTTAGTCAGAGTGCTGATGTCCGAGAGAGGTCTCTGTATACCATCAAAAATAGCTCCCATAATGCCAGGCCCTAGTTCCACTGATAAGGGCTTCCCAGTACGGAGTACAGGATCTCCTACAGAGACACCAGCTGAAGATTTGCTGAGGAAAAGTTCTTCCGGAACAAGGGAAAGAAACAAGGCAGAAAGCATCACATTCACAACACCATACTCTTTTCTGACTTTAGGGTAATACTATTACTGTGTTACACATCACCATTTGAGAAGCAAGTAGGCTTAATACTAAACATGGAATTTGCAAAAGCAACAAAGTTCATCATCCTCCAGAGAGGCAAAGAAGTGACAAATATTCTGCTTGTTGAGGTCAACTTTACAGATGAGTTCACTGGAGTGCCCGGCAGTGGGATGACAAAATATGAGACGTTTCTTACGTGTTCAAACCTAGAAAACAGGTTTGACTGTTAAAGTCAGATAATGTTATGAAATATGTAATTTTTTGCTTCAGAATTTGTTTAGAGAGCACAACTGATTTGACCTTGAGCCTTCCACAGCCTGTTTGACAGCAGCCTAGTTTTAAAGGGAGCTTGTCCAAGACCAGCATTATTGCCCTCCTCTGGTATCAAGTTGTCAGGTCTATCCACTGTCTAAGCTCCGAGATGCACAATGGATTTTTCTCTGCAAAGGGCCAGCAGCTGGGCAAAAGGCCCTGTGAGAATACAAAAGAAACCTCTAAAACCTATACAAAACTCTAGAGATTAAATGCAAGTTGACTTCAGAGAGCCCTACAACAAAGCCCTCTCATCAGGAACCTAACAGTAAACTATACTCAAACTTGGTCCATGTACTGATGGAAGGCTAGTAGATGATGCCATCCAAAATTATAAATTTCTAGGTAGAGACAAGAGCTAGTCACCAGTTTGCCAATGAGCTCTTCAGAATAAAACTTTAGGAGCCACCACAGCCTTTTTCCTAGCCTCTACAGATACACAGAACCAACTCTGTGAAAAAAAAACAGACTGGCTTCAAGTTTTATGGCTTCTTTTCTGACAATCTCTCATATATATGCATATGTAATAGAAAATACATTTTAAATCAACTAGATTTTAAAATACATGCTGCATCATAGCTGGACCAAGATTCTGTAAGCACACTGCGGAAGCAAAAACGTAATCTATTATGTCTGGCAAAATACTCTGCCCAGAAGAAGGCATCCTGCCCACTTTATATTCTTATTTAAGTGTTATACTTATCAAAAGCAAAGAGAAAAATGCAACAAATATTGCTTGGTAGGTTTGCCATTTATGGTTGGTCTTTGTCAAAAAACTTTCCTAACGAAGAGTTATCGCATTTAAATTAAATTGAACTTACATCCAAAGGCATGCATTATTACATTTCCACTTAAAACTGTCTAAAAAAAAAAAAGTCTCTTTGCTGCACAGCCACACAAGGTAAGATTTACCTCAAAACCTCCAGAATTTCCAAAAAACCTGCAGAACAGATGTCCTGCTGGAACCTGAAGTATCAAAGGCTGGTCCCAGTCAGCTTTTTTTCATCATCTTCACCATAATCACCACTGTGTTCTGGACTGTGCAGTCTAGCACGCTTGGAGGGATCAGTGAAAAGGATACATGTTTCTTCATACACCTGGACAGTTGCCAAATCACCTTCCAGTCGGATAATCTCTCCCACTAGTTCACTGTGTCCTACTCGTACCAGCTCGTACATAGCAGCACCTGCCATGTTACATGCAGTGACCACTGTAAAAGACAGGCACATAGGTGAATGTTTCTCCTGTAGTTCAGGAAATTTACTCATCAGAAGTTAGTAAGAACTGCCTGATATTCACCCAAATCAGACACACATTCTCCATTTCACAAATGGCTGCCTCAACTCCTGGTATTTCTAGCTCAAAAGTCAAAAGAATAAGTTTCCCTGTACTTTTCACAATGTTCTTTAAGCACAGTAAGAGGACACCATCAGAATGTAGTAGCTCAGACAATTCATGCCGTAATTTCTCTTATCTGTCTTGACAGACGGCAAATGTTGAGGGGTTTAGAGACGCAGAGAACTTTGACAGACCGGTTACACAGGCACTTCTCCCTTGCAGTGAGCTGGGCCACATTCCCATCTGGCTAAATTAAAACACACAGGAAAATGGCAAAACTCGCCTGATACCTGGTAGTTACATAAACCTGTGGATGGGAACCAGCATCTTCATGTTACTCAAATTTCTGTTTTCCTTGGTGGCATCTGGATGCTGACATAAACTGTTTCCATGGATAGATCAAGACAAGGCATCTGCTAAACGCAGATGACTAAAAAGCTTTCAAGAAAACACTATTTTTTATTTTATTTTGTAGAAAAGTGATGTCTATCTTAGGATACTTTCCAAAGATGTAGGCTATTTTACAGCATGTTTTGGGCTTGAAACTTCCTGCTGCTTTGAGTCAGATTTCAGCAGTCATACATGAGGGCCCAGCTGCTTTAGAACAAAATTTATTATGTCTTGTACATTATGATCTCAGTAATGCACACAGGAAAAACACATTTTCCACTTCTTGGGAAAGAAAGCTGTATCAGTTTAAAATGGCTTTTAAGTATCACTTCTGCAGTTAAGGAACTGGCAGTTAAAGAACCTGTGTCCATTCAGGTAGATACAAGCCAAGGGAGTTTCTTATTCACTAATTCAGCTGCATTAACAAAAATACTTGCTATTCTTCGGTTCTCACATTCTCATTCTTTCCTCCACCTCTTGAAGAGAATGCAAAAGGGAGCAGAAAAGCCAGTAGAGTCTGCATGTATTCAAAAGCTGTTTCCATCAGAACCTAAAGAAAGTATTTAAGCTGATAAAGACGAAGGAAGAGTGCTCCTTCTCCCAGTTGCAGTACCACCACACTCTGCCACCTTCCCTGATTCTTGCAGCTCCTTGCCGAGCCCCTCTAGCCCATGGTGCAGTAACACAAAACAGCTTGACACTGACAGGGGCTAAATATTCCAGAAAGCACAGGTTCAAACTGCATTTTAGTGAGAATGGACTATATCTCTCACACCCTTTCAGAGAAGGTTAACACAGTGGGCCCTCAGATTTCTGAACAAGTAGCTTTATCTCATACAGAAAGCTTACCTTTTCTTTCTATTATTGTTGTTATTATTCAACTGCATGTTTCTGCTCATTACATTTTTAAAAAAGATTAATTATTAGTAACATCTTATTAGCATATTTTTAATGTTTTATCAGACTATAAGCCAGTGATCCTCCTTAAAGTCGTCCCCCCCCCAAAATAGATAGAAAGCACCAACCAGAGCTCTGCTATACTTACTATACTTCTCCACTTTCAAGTGAACAAGATTAACAAGACACTAGATGAAACAAACTCTATGATTTCTTTTACAAAATAATACCTACCAGGTCCTGAGACTCCATGAACATAGCCAACAAAAGCCTCTCTGTCCTCATCACGGATTTTGGGGAGCTTGGAGAAGTCCATTTTGCCTGTTCAGCTGCACAGAAGGAAAAAATGACAGTCAGTCTTGAAGAACACGTATGTAATACGTTCCTTCTCTTCCTCCCCTCTGCTCTCTCCTTGTTTCCAGTTTGAAAGAATTCTGAACTCATAGCCTGAAGCACATTAACCACACTGATTTTAAAGCTGTAAAAAGTTATAAAGTAACTAACTTAAACAAACAAAAGAACTAAGATTCCTTATTGCAGAAACACAGGGGTAAAACATCACTCCATAATATGCTCCAAAAACTGCTGTTAAGTGAAAGAGCTGCACTCCAAAATGCCCTAACACTGCCCACTGTATCTAAGCTTGGTAACAGGATATTTAAACAATGGAAAATATCTTTTGTCTTCCACATCTCATCTACCCTCCTTCAAAATATGGAGTTTTCCACAGTTCTGAGTGAGCAAGAGAATGTTCTGGGTCTGCTTTACTGCCACCAGTCTCTAAAAAGCAATACTACAAATATTAATTGTGAAAATTCTATTTTTGCTATCTTAAGCTGCTGAATCAGTGTTCAGTGGAAGAAACACACACTTTCACAAGCACCAGCACACAAACACGCGAGTCCTTTCTAGGTGCCTCACAGCTACATATTATGCAGACTTTGCTGCCAGTGAAACCCGTGGAGCACTATAGAAGAACTGTGCTTGACTAAAACCCCTAACTTGCAACAGTTAAACAACAGGCTGTCATCTTTTGCCAGTACCTGTTTGGAGAAGCTAAACAACTGTCACAGGAAACACAGTTTCATAAACAGTCTTCCTCCATCCGTGTTTGTCCTGTGATCGACAGTTGGACTGTCCTGCATCTGGTGCGGATATGAGTATTTCATGGGTTTGCTTTGTGAGCCCTTACCGTGCTGTTACCTTGGAAACTGATTAGTATTAGAGAACTGTCAGGTCACTCTCTACCCATTTCTACTGGATTAACACACTTAGGACACAGCCCTGGTGAAAGGTGTGCTCTGGCAGCCCCAGCACCCAGTGCTGATCAACAGGGCCTATCCAGCACAGGCCCACGGTTCAGGGACGTGAACTACGTGAGGCATCTGTTGACACTCACAGTCTCTGTGAGAAGCTTGATCTAACACACATCTTCTGCAAGGCAGCAAATAAAAAGGCATATTCAGGCTGGAAAAACAGCCCCATGTACAATAAGCAAGACAACAATCACATTGCCACCCCTTCCACCACCATTAAAGAATGCTTTTGTGCCTGTTCTTCAGGAGCAGTAGCTGACATCAGCTATTCTTAATATCTTACAACTGTTTTCCAGCTTTTTAATACTACACTACAGGTCCTCTGCCCCTCAGCCTCTTTACCAATATAAATATTCTAAACCAGTGGCTCTGCTCTGTAAGAAAAAGATCTCCCACGACTCCAACCCCTTATTCGGCCTGAAGGAATAGCATCTTCCAGGCTCCATGTCTCTCTGGAGTGGTTTCTCTATCATGGCTGCCATTGATTCATTTCACAGCAGCCACTCCAACAGTTGATGATGACTCAGTCACCACCAGTCTGAAGCAGACTGGTCTCGAGACCAAAGGCTAAGTCACATATCCCTTAGATCCCTCTACTCTCCATAACCGTAGTTTATTTTTCACATTGCCTGTTGTTTAGGCCCAGAAGACAATTTTAATTTCCCTGCTTTTTTCTCAAAAGCCTCCTCTGACAAATGGCAGAGGGGAGGTCCTCACAAAGCAATCTGCAGTTCCTGAGCAGCTGCTAAGAGCTGGTTCTGATCAAACTAACATAACTATCTCATCTTTTTTGCTTTGAACAACTAAAACACTGAAAAACTCAAGCACAATTACTGTTCATACTGAAAAAAGCAGTTGTTCTTATAAATCTACTTAAAACATTTGCTTCAACATACCATACAGAACAATCTCTAGAGTCCCACTATCAAAATCTTCTATAGAAGCACAATAAACTCTCATCACTGAATTAGTGATGCTGCCTGGCAATTAGACAGGGTCCCATATGAAAGAGTCAGATTACAAAGGCAAGAAATCAGGAAGAACACTGGCCTGTTTCAATTTAAATTACCTTTTCTTCCTGAACAAAGCCTGCTTGAAGAGACCGTTTATCTTTTAGGGAGGCAAGCAGAAACCTCAGGTAGTCATTCTGCAGGTTAAGTGGCAACATCCTGACAGTCAACACACCTTCCTCTCCTGTTCCTGTGGCTGCTCTGCTCCCTCTCTATTCCAACAGTCACCTTTCCAAATTGCTGGTGAAGCCAAGTAAAAGAGAAGGGGATTCCTCCACTAGACCACCTAGCAACACACCAATAAACCCTGTCTTGTTATGATCCCTAGAACCTGCACCAACTGCTTTTAAACCCATACCTATTAATTATTCCAAGTGTAAAAGATGTGATGATTTCTTCCTCACCTTTGTTTCACCTCCTCTCTACCTCCAAAGTACAATCTCCACAAAGCCAGTGCTCACCCTGTCAAGCTGACCTCTTTTTTTAAAAGGCTACACAACTTTTAACACTGAAGAAATAAATGAAGAAAAAAAAAGAGCTGTTATCTTCACTGCATCATTTTCTTGTGCTCCTGTATTAGCACTACAGATTTTCATTTTAAATGGAAAAGTCCTTGAGGGCCAAAATGTTGCCTTAAGTACCTACAGCGTTAAATGTTTTCATTGCCAGTACTCAGAGAAAATGAAATTCTCTAAAGCATGTCAGGATTTGCTAAACACATCATCATGTGTATGGAGGCAGTATGTACTTAACCCAGAAATAACGGTAGCTGGCCATTTTAGAAATCTACTGAGCTCCTACAGCCTTTCAGAGGCCTCTTGCCACTGTAATTAGGCACTATGTGCAATTCCCTCCCACGAAAGTCCACTTGCACACATACACAGGGTATTAGCTTAATTTTAATTCCCTTCTGAGAAAAGATGCATCTTGTATCCTTTACAAATTATATACAGGAATCTTCCCTGCCTAAAACAGTTCTGCAATTATTTTAAACATGATCCAAAGCTCTAGCAGTTATATGCTGATTAACAGTGTCAGAAATCAAAATATTACTTGCAGCAGAATCTCCTCTGACTAAAGGTGATCTATTACACTAATTTTATAGTCATAATTAAATAATAAAGGGCCTACAACCTGAGCTTTCTACCTTGGTTTCTCCCCGGCACAGCAATCTGGCTACATAATAACCCTAAAAATGTAACTGCCCTGCTCTCAATGCTGGAGAAACCTGTTTTCTACCACGGTTCCTTGGTTTTGGTTCAAGCATTTCATCAGACCCAAAATCTACACAATGAATTACCTTACCAGAAAGATCTTTTCAAAATTAAGACTTGGGTGAGATTTTCAGAAGGAGCCTTCTTGCAGCAAGGAAGAAAATCCACGACAATTTTATCACATAAACACCGATTCTTACCTTATTTTGCAGAAACAGGGAGTAACAAAAATCCACAGGCCCAATTCAAAAGCAGGAATTCAGCAGCTAAGCATCGCCACTTATGAAATAATTGTCCTTCTAGTGCCCCTACACAGAAGGATGAGAAAGCCTGCTGCAGAGGGGAAAGAAATTTCTGCCACACAGCAGAGGCATAACCACCTGACTTGATGAGTCATCAGTCTCTCCCTCTCTCCCACCAGCACCGAGGAATGCCGCAATAGCAAATCAAGCCACCTAGAGCCCAGCTGAACTCCCGTCTGTGCCCTCCTTACTGCACGGGACCGAGCAGAAGAAATTAAAAGGATTCAGCGTTTGCATTAAGGGCCTCCTACAAAGCCAATAATCCCAATGTCCCAAGTGGTGCATACTACTACATAAAGATCCTTGAAAGGGAGATGTGTGCTTTCTGCTGGAATCCATTTACTTGCCAGCCCCCCAGTGTAATACAGCCGTGTCAGTGTGTGCCCTGCTCTGGAAGAGCTTAACAGAACTGGCTAACAACAGACTGCACACGGAGGCGCTGAAGACACAGTAATACTAATTGCCTGAGCATGTAGAACAGTATTGATTGTGTCCAAGAGTCTTGTGGGGCTTATGCTAAGAAGCCCTTCCCCTAGCTAGCAGCAGCATTGATGAAACTGCACAACATCCAGCACCTCAGCAGAGTGATGTGCCATCCCGAGTGACGGCTGCTGGAGTTTGTTTTCAGAGATCAACATTGTCCTGTGTGCTGTACAGAACATGAGCAGCTATGTGATCTCTCCCCAAGAAGCTGCCTGAATTGAAGAGTTCCCTGCAGTCTCCACAACTTCTCAAGACTATCTGCACAAGTTCTAGGATTAGCAACACTTCAAACTGGCACAAAAGCTCAAAAACACTAACCAGAATTGTAGTAAACAGCACAAAATCAGTAATTCAGAAGCAGCAGCAGTCCATTAACAAGTTACCAGTGCTAAGACTCATTCTGCTGGAGTAATTTTGAACTAAGGTAATAGATTTTACTATATCTGAAACAGACTAATGTGTGCTGACTTCCTAGGGTAGAAAAATGGGAGTCAGAATATAAGCCCTTGCATTCAAATTCTGGGCAAGCTTAATAGGCATACACAGTAAAATGTAGCCAAATAAAGTTTCCCAAAGAAAATCCTGCCTCCTCCTTTTCTTAATAAAAGGCTGGACATTACAGGATAGTAAAGATTACAACCCACACTGGACAATCAGCTTAGTGTCACACTTGAGTCATGCTTCATAATCAAGACTCCCAACACCTACTGTGTTCACCTGAGCAGACTCTGGCACAGTGTATAAGCCCAGTGCCCAGCTGCATGAAGATCTGCTGCAAGGGCATCATAAATAATACAATAATCACTACCACAGATTTCCTGTAATTTGGATGGTTTATACTTCCCCTTCCAACAGATGATATTTTTAAGAGGAAGTATTAAAAAAAAAAAGGCAACACCTAAGTTACTAGACAAATGCAGAAGTTCAGCAACATTTCCGTATCTAGAATTTGGGATATTGCCCCAGAAAAAACCAACATGCCCCGAACAGTAACACAGGTCACTGGGAAAGGAAGCCAAATAGTATTCTCAGGAAATCTGTTCCTTTGCACTATGCAGGGTTATAATTTTACTATAAAACAGCAGGGAAAATTACTCCAGATTTCTCAGTCATCAAACAGCGAAACTGCTGAGGTGGGAAGGCACCTCTGGCAATTGTCTACTTCCAACACCCTGCTCAAAGCAAGCTAATATAGGCTGCTCAGGGCCATGTCCAGAGGGGTTTTGAACACCTCCAAGGATGAAGACACCACAACTCTCTGGGCAACCTGTTCCAGTGTTCAGACACCCTCATAGTAAAAAGTATTTTCTTACATTTAAAGGGAATTCCCTGTATTTCAGTTTGTGCCCATTGCTTTTTGTTACTTCAGCAGATACCACTGAGAAGAGCCTGGCTCTATCCTCTGTGCTCCCTCCCATTAGATGTTTATATACTTTACACTAAGATCCTCAGAGCCTTCTCTTCCCAAGGCCACATAATCCCAGCTCTCTCATCCTCTTCTGCTATCTCCAAATGCTTAACAGTCTTGTGGTCCTCTGGACCCACACCATTAAGCCATGTCTTTTACTGGAGAATCCAGAAACAGACACAGTGCTCCAGATGTGCTTTCCACTGAGCTTAACCGAGGCAAAAAAACCACCTCCCTGAACCTGTTGGCAGGATTCTCCCAAATGCAGCCCAGGATAGTGCTGGCTGCCTTTGCCATGAGGACAGGTTGGCAGCTGATGTTCCCCTCGAGGACCTCTAGTCCTTTTCAACAAAGCCACTTTGCAGTCAATCAGTCCCCAGCCTGTAGCAAGGTATGTGGTTATTCTGCCCCAGGTGCAGGACTTGGCATTTTCCTTTGTCAAACTTCATGGGATTCCCATCAGCCTATTTTTTCAGTCTGTCAGGGTCCCTCTGTACAGCAGCACAGCCCTCCTCTGCTATATCAAACATCTCCCAGCTGTGTCACCTGCACTCTAATGGAACCAGGCAGGAGTCACCTCCTGTGCTCAACACTATGATGTGGCTCAGTCTTCTCATGACACAGACGCTGTGAAGCTAATTGCACCAACCTTCTTGCCACAAGCTCTGAGCTAGAAGTATTATTTCTTAAACTCAACATATGGACATTCATCCATTAATTATTCCAGTTGCCACAGTGCACTTTGAGGCCACCTCTGCACTGGGTAGATCCGGAACCTGCTTAAGTGATGCTCAGTTACATATTGTGGACCCATCTGCAGCCCTACAAGACAATTTGTCTTTCATGCAACTTGTTTCTTGGGTACTATAAAGCCCCTTACTCTCACATGAGGCTTGCTCTACTCAGCACATCTACACATAAATCCAGGTGTATTGAAGAAAAAAGACAGGGAAGAGAATCATGCTGCCACTGTCATCGCAGTACAAAGTGGCTACAAAGTGAGACTGTGCAACAGGGAATTCATGAAGCCCATCATGAGCTCCTGCTGTCCTCTTCCCCAAAACAGGTGAGGATTTACCTGTGGGTATGCCAATACATACCAGCCTGACACTTCAAACGAACATCAGGCCTTGCACACAAGCTAAACATATAAAAATATATTTATATTCAATACATATATACAACATAAGCATATATTCCTAAAACAAAGGAATATATGAGGTGTGAAGTCTGTTCATGCAAGACATACTACCATCACAAGCTGTTAGTCAAGTACCCGAGCTTTTATTCAGAAGCCCAGTTAGCTGGGCCCAGAAGCTTCAGTTAGCCCGGAACAGGACCAGAACAAAGTTGTGTTTGAACATGACCAAGAAGCTTGCAGCACAAATAAAACCAGATAGAAAGGCTGGCAAGGCATTCATTGCATAACTGCTCTGACCCACTAAAGATCTGATCAGCTCAGTAGATAACTGGCCTTTGGACATCAAACGCAGCTGTCATGCTATATCTAGAATTGCTAAAGACCCTAGTTTAATAAAATCAAATACTCTTGTTACTAGAGAAAACCACACTGTTCATGTGAAAAAAAAAAAAATCTTCATTAGATGACTGGTTATAAACTATAGTTTCCCATAATAGGGCTTTCTACACCAATTCTTTCCTCTCAATCCAAAAAGCTTCTCCAGAGAAGGAAATAGATGACCATCCCCTTAGTTCTTACTTGCTACACTGCTTCACAATTTTACTACTGTGAAAAATCTGACACGCCTTTCAGCCTGCTACACATTCTGCCCTTTCTTTGGCTTGACCGACTTTTACACAAAAGAAAGATCTAATGCAACTGAAATCCAAATCGCAATATAGAATACTAATACAATATTCATTTCTGTGTTCTGCAGTGACCTTCTTTTCTTATCCTGATCCTGTCATCTAGCTGCTACAGCTGAAAAGTTCTGCAGCCATCTGCTCTGTGTAATGCTCAGTCATTTCCTCTACATGAGCAATTTTCATTAACCTAACATTAGTGCCAAACTAAAATCCATCCTTGCTTTTATTAAGTAAAAGTCACTCTTCTTTCAGATGTATTGGGCACTGTAACTTGAAATACTTTTTATAGTTCTAACCTTTAAGACGAGAAACATTCAAACGAGAAGAACACAAAGCTGTAAGCAACTACAGCAGCAAACTTTAGTAAAGTTCAGTACAGCTGAAGATCTTACCTCAACAGACATAAGGTGTGCAATGGCACAAAACAACTGTTGCTAGATTTTTGAGTCAGGCTCAGTTTTACATACAGAAATATACTAATAGTTTGGGCTCATTAAAACACATGGGGGCTCCCCTTCAAGTGTCACCACTGCCTAACTTCCTTTCCCCAGGTGTAACAGCTGAAGTACTGAGCACCAGTTTAGAATAAGTATTTCATCATTACACTTAACTTTCAGATAATCTTTAAAGTTGGGATATTGTGGAATCTTCAGTTTATTATGCAAGGTTATTTGGCAGCTAGTTTGAAGACCTGAACCAGGACTAAGATTGCATGAAAGTCTTTGAGAAAGATCCAATGCCCCTAACAGAGAGAAGTACTCTTTTATAGCACCTTTGGTATAATGAAACACCTGGTTGGAATCACAACACACATACTGGCACTGGATTCTAGTAAAAGGGTATTTCATTGAAGTTGACTTTTCCTGTAATGGAAAACTTCACCTTTATATTTTAAAGCAAGTGAAGTCACATTTGGCCATTTTACGTTCAATAAAAGTATACAATGAAGTATTTACAGCTTCTTTAGAACAGCCGGCACCCCTCCAACATATTAAATTTTAACATTGTTAAACTACATATTGTGGTGATGCAAATTTATCTCATGATAACAAAACCCTCAAACTTTCAAGGATTTACAGGAAATCCACATAATAGAATTGCCTTGTCACCAATGTTATCTGCGTTTAGCCAGAAACACCATTCTAATTTTTTTCTAGAGAGCTGCTTTTTAAGCTATTACTTTCATAGTGGGAAATGGAGTAATGATACAGTGTAACAATGACACAGGTCTGCCCCACTAACTGAACTTCTTGGAAGATGCAGTTTCACTGCTCAGTTTTAAAAAGCTGTCAATTCAGGCTGTTACATGAAACTTGCATACCCGAAAGCTTTTGTCCAGCTATAGTAAGTTATTCCAGTACAGGCACAGTTTTCTCTCTATAAAGTCAATGGCTT